GTCACAATTGTGGGTTACATAAGCTGTTAAGGCTCCAGGTGAATGCCAGATCCAGGTTAACTCCTCTGGTCCATCTACATGTGGGACGGATCCTCCATCGACTTCAGTCTGTTCCTGCAATGTGGTTGTTGTTGGCAAACCAGCAATCTGCAGACTGATGTCTTGTCATAACACTAACAGCGGGAGTAAACGTGTCCTTTCCCATTGTGTCTCTGCTGATAATCAGATGAAGCGGATGTAAGTTGTGGCCTCTAGCAAAGACGGTCCATATCTGCATGAAACAACCTGTAAACTGGAATATTCTCAGTGAGGACAGCCGTGCAGGTGGAGCCCACATTTCATTACTTTGATTTAAATATCTTTCATCCTTTTGCAGGAAAAAAAAGGATCCCCTACACTTGAAAATGTAATTCTTTATCACCTCGTCCTGCTATACAACGGTATTAAAGGAAAACAGACGTCTTCAAGGTTGAGTTGCAGCGTTGACTAATCTCGTTAAGTCTTCATTCGCTCTCTGTGACTCCAGAGAAGGTAAACAGACACCAAGAAGCAGTGAAGTGAAGCGTGACCTCTTGTCAGATACCAGAATGTGAAAGCACCCACGCACTTTTTTTTTTTTTTTTCAGAGGTGAAATAAAACTGAGTGCATACGTCTGTGAGGATTCTCCGTCATCCAGGTCAGGGTCATCCTAAGAGCTTCAGCAGAAAGCAAGTGGACTTCTCTAATGAGCCATTAGCCACGTAGGATGACAATAAACATGTAAAACTCCCCATCAGTCAGTTAGAACTGGAGAAGTCTCTTGGATGAGAGACGAAACATGAGAGGTGAAACATGAAACGTTTGGGATGGTTTGAGAGAGGAGTGAAAGAAGCCGTCGAAGCCAAACTGGACATCCCTCAACAGACCTCTCACCTGCTTACACTTCAGTCCTAAGAACTCTCCCCAGGAAGATGAAACCACATCCACACAAAGACCTTAACGAACCCCATTGTGTCAGGGGGGAGCGCTAACGACTCGCATGACGAGGGGGAGGAGCAACAAACCTTTAGACTCTCTGGACTTGTAGAAGGCGGTGTTGTATGGAGGGGTGCAGGTAGACTTTGGTGGCATGTGGAGGACAGTCAGAAGTGGTTTATTTGCAAATTTTTAAAGAAACAGCACACCTTCAAAAAGAAGAAAAAAAGAAATTGCAAGAGAGAAAAAGAAAAACTAACTAGAAACCTTTCACAAGTCCTGCAGCCTTCATGAACAAACTACTTCCTAGCTTCTTCTTCTTCTTCTTCTTCTTCTTCTATGGTACTGCCTGGCTTCTCTCCCAGCACACACACATACACAGGGCAGGGTTAAACTGTTCAGTTGAAACTGGCCAATCAGAACACATCTGGATCACGCCTACTCAGTGAACCAATAAAAATGCTGCTTTGGAGGCGCGCCCCCATTTTTAACTTCCAAGTCAAGATGGCCGCTGCAAGGAAGGAACTCAGGTGAGGACTTCTGTTTACTTGTTGTCTTTTTCTTTCCTAACCGGCTGCTCACTTTAATCAGACAGGTGAACTTGGAAACAGTTTTTCTCTGCAGGCGTGTTGTTCATGTCCACCTCTACATAAAACATCTGCATGTGGTCCAGTAGGGAGCTCATGCTTCCCAACAAACATTCGACAATCTCCCTGCAGAGATTTCAATGATAGATTTTGCAGTAACTGAACACACAGTAATTGGAGGGGAAGCTTTATTTTTATATTTCAGGATTGGCATTCGTTGTTTAGCTCCATTTAAATGGTTTCTTTAGTGGAACCGAAGAAAGCATCTTTATTTTCATACATACAACATTGCAAAAAGGCAAACACGTGGTTAAAAACCTCGCTTCCTGCATTGTCCATCCATCCATCCATCATCCATACACCTTCATCCTCACTAGGGTCATGGAGGGCTGGAGTCTATCCCAGCTGACTCAGGGTGAAGGCAGGTTCACCTGGACAGGTAACCAGTCTATCACAGGGCTGCTTCCTGCATTGTCATTTCTGGAAATCTCACTTCCTGGTTTTCAACATTCACGTTCTCCACCACCTCAGCGTGCATCTCTGCTGCACAGATTCACGAGCAAAGAAGTAGTTCTGTTCCTGTTTGTCAGAATATTCGCTTTTTGCTGATGGTTTCCAGAATATTAACTAATTATTTAAAGTTTTAAATTAAAAAGTAATAAAACTGATGAAGACTGTCATGAATCATCAGAAGTTTTCAACCAGAAAAGCTGTAAATGAGTTTAACAGAGAACGAAGCATTGTTTGGAGGGACATGTTGGTTGGAGCGTCTAATCAGCGCATCCTAATCAGCTGCAAGTTCGTTAGTGCTGAATAATTTACCACTTGATTGTATTTAATAAAACATTTCCCATTGATTAAGACCTTGCACATCCCAAACACGTTGCCCGAGTGCGGCACAATGAATCAGGGTTTCCAGCCGGCCTCCTCCTCCGGTTCCCCGCTGATCGATAGCGTCCCGTGGCCTGAACTGGCACCGCTCGGACCTCCATGTTTGGATTTCAGCCACCACGCCACCTTTTCTCTGGATTTCAGCACTATGTCACTGTCTGGCTCCGAGGCCGCTTTGTCGTCCGCAGGGAAAAAAAAAACAGGAACGTTAAAGCAATGTAAAGCCGAACGAGACAGAAAAGAGCTGCTCGCACATGTCTGATTTATTCACCTTCAGACGAATGGCTGTAGAAATGCCTCCAGTCGCTCTGCTCCATGGCCACCTCTCGCCTGCACCACTCCCTCTCCAGGAGTCCCATCCATATGTTCATGTAGTCGGTTCCTGCATCTCCTCCGCTCGCTGCTTCCAGGCCGCTCAGCAGCTGGTCGGCTTCATGTTGCTGCTCCATCTCTTCTTCCTTTTCTCCTGAAGTCTCAGACGTCATGCTTTCACTCACTGCATATAAAACACAAGAATCCTGTTTGTTGTAGAACAAATTAAAGCTGCTGTTTGAATACTTTTTACTGTTTTATTGCTCTAATAAAACAGCATCATCTGCATAGGCGGTTGCAGAGCAACGTCAGATACAGAAGACGCTCAAACTTGACGATGCATCGTTCACGCCGCACAAGGAGCGACGAAGAACGCGGCGCTCCAGACGTGTGCCACCGAGTGTGTTTTACATTCCTGAACCATCAGATATGAGTGTGTTTATGTTGAAATGAAGTCAGAGAGAGAAATTTAGAAGCTAAAGGGCTGCAGTGTTTAGCGTCCGACCCGTACAGCTTCGCTTCTGGCCACTCGCTCCCATCAATATTTTTACTAGAGATAATTTACTGTGCATTTTGTGCCTTTATTAGGATCGTGGCCGCGCAAAGAGACGGCAAACGTGGGAAAGAAAGCAGGATAACAACATGCAGCCAGGAACTGAACCGGGCTCTCCCTGCCCAGAGCGTTTGCACCCATGTGGAATCTGCTCGGCTACAGGGTCGACGGCTTTCATCTGTTTCTGATGATATTTCTGTGGGAATGTAGCAGCGACTATATTTACGCACCATTTTCTCCATTTTATGACTTCCTCGCAACTTATTTTTTGAACTTGCACAAGGATTTTTTATTGTTATTGTCATTATTATGGACGGAACATGCATGCTTTTGGGAAAAATGAAGATAATTGTTGATCTGTTACTTGCTTTATGTATGTAAATGTGTATAAATATGCTTCTTTTTCCACTTTATTGGAAAGATAGGACAGAGAGAAGGATGGGAAATGTTCAGGAAGAGTGCAGGGGAATGAGATGCAGCAGGGCCGGACTGTAGACCTGCTGCCTGGAGGTGTTTGTGGGAGATGCTGCAACCGCCGGATTTTAGTTAATGAAGTGATATTCTCCTGTTCACACACTTTGGCTTTCCTTTTATTTCAGTCCGATTCCTTTTATCCAAAGCAGAGAAACACATTCATGCACCAGTGCATGCAAGGTGCTGCCTGCCATTGGGAGCTACTTGGTGTCTTCCCAACACTTGGACTGTGGACAGTTGAGGGATCAAACCTTGCGATTAGAGGCCAACCAGCTCAGCTACTTGAGCTACTTGTTCACTGAGATTCTTCACATATTAAAGAATGTGTTTACTGAATCACTCCCACTCACTTAAACACGACAACGCTGCCTGAAACGATTTATATTCCTTATGATCCCCAACTCTGCTGTTGTTTTGGCACGACAAGACGATCTTAATTCATAATCCGTGGCATTTTTCTTTTAGGTTTCCTCATTGAACTCTGGTTTGTCTGGTCTGCAGCAGTCTCTCCTCTGTGTTTGTTTGCTGAGAATTTGTGGTGAACCAGGGAACCTAAAGTTGTGGGTTTGTGTTCACATGGCTTTGTAAGTGCTGATTGTGTTGTGCAAACTTATACGTGGGAATAACTCAGTGACTCGAATTGAGAAATGAAGGGATGACCTGAACCACACAACGCTACTCATTTTAAAATTCTCCACGTTCGGCCGTCCTCAGCCCAAAAAACTCAGCTGACTGCTCGTTTAAAGACGACCTGTTGTTTAGCTGAACGTCTGCTCTCAGCTGCCTCCCCTTTCTGCTCCGCATCGCTTTGCGCTCTATCAGCTGCAAATGGCACCAGTACAATGCTGCTAAGAGATTGTTTGCCTTGGGCTATACCTCTCCCATTTCTGAAGTGACGTGAGACCACAGCTGGGAATTTGTAAATGTTTATTTTACACGCCTCCCTATTTGGCAGTCAGAAGCAAAAAAGAAGCCACTTGTGCCTTAAATAAAGTCGGTCACAGAATGCAGTCGTCTGCAGCCGTGTAAACGTTAATGACCGTTTAGGTGTGCAGCGTGCAGAGTGACAGCACATCAGCATGATGTAGCCATAATTAATGCTGTCACTCAATCATGTGTGAGAGCACATGATTGAGTGACAACATTACTAATGTGTAACACCACATTTAATAGACTCAGTGATATACTCGATTAGAAGCACTAAATTCTTCAGGTTGTGTCATCCGTGACAGAGGAAATATCACATGATCCACCCGAAGCATTGTGGGATTGAGAGAAGAAAGTAGTGTCATGAAACTGATTTTGTTTATAAAAGCTGGAATTTCAGTGCGTTCTGTATAAAACAAGCACAATCGTGACTCCATAATCTGACCCTTAACAATCCTAAACCTGCTATCCGACATGTTTTTAGGAAAAATGAACAGAACCCATAAAAAACAGCCTTAACATAGCGACAGCCTTGGATTCTGACTCCAACATGACATTTTGTGTCACAAATCAGGATAACAGCGTATTATCTGACTGAACAATCCCACAGATTGGCTACGTTCACACTGCAGGACTTGATGCTCAATGAGGATTTCTTTGTGACTTCCTTCACGTTTCCAGTTCAATGCGACTTGTATGTGATCTGCTGTGTGAACTTCATACGACCCAAAAGTGTCCCGCATGCGCACAAGAGGACACGACGACGTCACACGCAGCGAGCGTGCTCAGTGGAAGTAAACATGGATGGTAACGGTGGAGCGTATCTGCCACTCCCCCGCCGCCACCGATGGAGGAAACAGAAGTGTGAGCGCTAACTAAACTAGCATCAGCAGCCAAGTACTGCCTGTGTGTTCTGGACACTTCCACCTCGTTGGAGCGCTCCCCCAGGATGGAAGTGTCCCCCAACCACACCGAATGTTCAGATATTCATCATTAAATGGGCCTGAATATCCAGAGACCAGAAAGTACTATTGGGACCAGCCCTACTAGTTATTATAACAACTATGAACAATAAATATTAACAACTAATGAGCCTTCCAGCATCATCATCAAGCCCACCTTGTATCTCGACCTCCGTCTTGACAATCCGACAGCCTTGCTATCCGACATAAAAGAAGGTTTTACATTTAGTGTCGGGTTATCGAGTCACGACTGTGTTTAACTCTCAGTATTCTGACATTCAATAAATATGCCGCCCTACAAACCGGAAGTGATTTCAGGTACAGCTTCTGTCTGCAGCCTGTTTGCATGACGCACAACTGAAGCCGATCAGGACGCCTGCTACTGTGGTTGACTAAAGTTGACTCTGTTCTATCGCGGTTGTTCAGTTTCCTTCTGTTAACATCTCTGGATACTTACTGGTGAGTGGAGGTAATCCCATGCTGCTGCTGTTTCCTTTTAAAACGTTCTGCTTTTCCCACCTCCTGCGATCCCACTCGATGATGAGCTGTTTTACAATCTTCTTGGCTGCGTACTCGTCTTTGCTTTCAGGTAGTTTGTCACTAATGTCTTCCTCTGGCGGCGGTACGTCGTCTCTCTCCGGGTAGGCGCTGAGGTAAAAAGAGTTGTTTCCTGCCACCATCTCCTCCATCTTCTCCAGCAGCTCCGTCACCTGATCTTCAGCTTCACTCGTGTTGTTGACGACATGATACCTGTTTCCGCATTTCTCAGTAAGCCACCGGAGAGACTTTCCTTCGCTTTCAATGTGCTGCTCAATAGTTTTGTCCCCCAGGGTGTCTCCGAACGTGAACACCATGATTACGTGTCTCCAGACTCTCTGTCCAAGCAGCCTCATGTTGCCCTCCATGAGCCTTCTCTGCTCCTCGGTAAATGCTGTGTCCAACGGCACCGTCAGCAAAATGACGTTTGGTGACGGAGAGCACAGAGACACTCCGTCTAAAATCTCAGAATTCAAGAACGAAGGGCTGAACATTGCCGAGAAGTACTTCCACCATCCGGGAGTGTCCACGATGACGACCTCTCTTCCAGCCACCTCCCCGCTTTGCTTCAGAGCTTTCACCGTTCTGTCACCGGAATGAAACTTGTCAGCCCTCAGAATGCTGTTCCCGGTGGCGCTCTTCCCGGAAAACACCCACCCCACCATCAGGATCCTCAGGCTGGGTGCCGGTTCTGCAGAACAAGACAGATGTTAGAGATCTGCTCGGTTTAGGGAACAGTTTGGCTTTACTTGACCCTTGGGTGTTGTGTGGGTCAGCGTTTTAAAAAACCAACAAGATCCATTTAACCCTCAGAACCAGCCAGCAGGCATGCATTTGAAAGGCATGTTTTCTTTTAAAAAACAAACTAAATTGCACCATTTATTAAAGCCAGAAGCTGTAAAAACTAAACTCATTTCACAGCTGGAGCTCTGATCAGCAGATTTTTGAACATATTATGTTTGACATACGGCTTCGTCTGGCAAAATAGCCGAAGGAAAAGCTTAACATTTCACTGAAATCACTTTATTCTGTCTGATTTAAAATAAATACATAAACCAGTTACACCAGATTCAGTAAGACAATAAAAATCCTTCTTTCTTGGTGCGACAAAGAAGCCACAACTGACTCGACTGTGACCAACCATCCATCCATTATCTATACACCTTAATCCTCACTAGGGGGCCTGGAGTCTATACTAGCTGACTCAGGGTGAAGGCAGGTTCACCTGGACAGGTAACCAGTCTATCACAGGGCTACACTTAGAGACAGACAACCAAGCACACTCACATTCACACCTACGGACAATTTAGAATCACCAATTAACCTCAACATGTTTCTGGACTGTGGGAGGAAGCCGGAGAACCCGGAGAGAACCCACGCTGCACGGGGAGAACATGGAGACTCCACACAGACAGATTCTGGGTGTCCTCACCGGGACATGAACTGGCGACGATGCTAACCACCGAGCCACCGTGCAGCCCCGCGACTAACCGTCACATGACAAAAATCCTGAAAGTGAACTGCAGGCTGTTTTTACACAGAGCAGAGGGGCCACAAGAGACCGAGCTGAAAATAAAACACACTTGAGCAGTAATGTAAATGCAGCAAAAATGCGACACAGAGGATGTCAGCAAGTTGTTTAAAGATCCATTCTGCATGATGAAATGAACTGTAAAGACTGTAGCACCTCTGGGCATTTGGAAAAATGTTGTACGTATTGAGTCTAGTATTTTTGTTTTTCTGAAACTAGTAATTCAAGAAATTCAAATTGCTTTTTGTTTTTTAGTGACTCGTGTTGCATCTACTTCCTGCCATGGTTGTGTTTTTTTCCAAAGAGGTGCAGGATTTTGTATTGCAGTGAAAAATGAGTCCACAGTGACTAAAAATGGGACAGAAGCAAAAAGTGCACAGAAGTTGCTTATAGTTTGGAAGGTTAATAGCAGACTGGACTCTGACAAAGGGGAACATTTGAACATTTTATTACATTAATGCACCCAAAAGTTAAAAAATATATTTCTACAGTCAAACCATTTGAGTCATTTCATAACAAGTCGTCTTATTTTCTGAACTATAGTTTTACTTGTACCTTAAATTAGATCAGGGGTGTCCAATCCTGGTCCTCGAGGGCCACAGTCCTGCATGTTTTAGATCAGGGGTGTCCAATCCTGGTCCTCGAGGGCCACAGTCCTGCATGTTTTAGATGTTTCCCTCTTCCAACACACCTGATTCACATGATCAGGATCGTCATCAGGCTTCTGCAGAGCTTGATGATGAGCTGATCATCTGAATCACGTGTGTTGGAAGCATCTAAAACATGCAGGATTGTGGCCCTCGAGGACCAGGATTGGACACCCCTGAATTAGATCGTTTTAGCTCATGCATATGAGTGCAAACAATCTCAGCTGACCTGTCAGCAGACTCCTGAGTTTCTGTCTTTGTTGCTGTGACTGCAGACGCAGCTCCTGTGCTCTTTTCTCTACTTCCGTCCTCCTCTCCTCCACACTTTGCACCAGCGTGCCGTCAGCTTGGTAACAGCTGTTTCTCGCCACCATTGCATCGATCTTCTCAAACAGCTCTTCGACTTTCACCCCGCTGTCGGTGCCATCCTCACAAAGACTGTGATATCTCTTACCACAGGCCTCCAGGAGCGACCGGAGCGGCGCCCCTTCAGAATCGATGTAATCCTCGATGGTTTTGTGGCTCGGATGGCCTCTGTGGCTGAAGACCACCACGGTGTGATCCCAAACCTTCTCCCCAAAAAAGTGTTCCAAGTGCTCCTTTGTTGCCTTCTTGTATGCGTCTTTGAATGGCAGCTCGGCGTTAACCACCAGGAGGAAAGCGTGCAGCGGAGGAGGGCACAGAGTGACGCTGAGAATCGCCCCAGTTTTAAAAAGTTCTGGTGTATCACAGAGGCGATACCCTCGCAGCCACCCGGGGGCTCTGACCAGCGAGACTCTCCTCCCGCATGCGTCTCCTTCGCCTCTCTCGCAGCGGGACGTCGCATCTCGAGGATCAAACGCCTGTCTTCCCAGGATGATGTTTCCGACGAGATATTTCCGGGAGCTTTTTGATCCCACGAGCACCGCGTTCAGCTCTGACGGGGAGACAGCGAGACACAGACAGTAGCGTGAAGCAGGGAAACAAAGGCTCTCGTTCACAGTGTGAGAGTTTACTGAAGGACTCACCTCTTCTTGATCTCTTCATGTTTTCTGCAAAGTAGAAGCAGGAGTTGGGCCTCTAATGGGTTTGCTTTCTTTCATGTCTTGCTGTGGAGTGAGCTGAGCACAGACACACTGTTGAATCTTTGATCTGTTTACATGACCGACTGCATATTTTTACGTTTGAGCTGCAGGTCCAGTTCTTAGGAACGCTTGATGTTACCGGTAAACCACGCCTTCATGCGGGCACTGCTGTTTGTTTCCTGCTTCCGTACTTTTAGACAAACAAACAGCTGACAATCAAACATCTAAATAAATGGTTTCATGAATCAATGGCCTTCAGAGATCCCCATCCAGGGATCTATATGGGACACTATGGACGATACCCTCATCATAAAAACACAAAATGCAGATATGAGGCTTGCTTTCCAAGAATTGTGGTCAGATTCTTGAAGAACCCAAGTGAAGGAGACACTTGAGAGAGTTGTGGCTAAACCGCTCTTCACAATTTTCACCCCATCTGGTGAGGAAGTTAAATATTTCATCGACACGTTAAGACTCCCGAACACTGGAGCTGTGAGCGATGCGAACATCCAATCAGAACATCCAACGTGCGCTGCTTCTTCTTGTGCAACCGTGACTTATTTCTAAATAAAGCATATTTTAATTTTGAGTCTGAGGCTGGTTAAAGAGAGATTATATGGACAGATCAGATAATTCCGTCCGTGTCAGCTGTCGCGTCCTAGAAACTCCGACATCATCGCCGGTATGTTGTCGAACTGGTTGTTCTGGAGAGATTCCAGGTCCCAGAGCAGCTTACCAGTGTCAGCCTCTACCTGCTGCCTCTGCCAGCGTCCTTATGCAACCGAATTAAAAGGAACGCACATGTACACACACGACCCAGTGCAGTTCATGTTCACTGTTGATGCTGCGTTGCCTCAGTGAGAATGTGAGCAAAACACACCGGATGTCTGTATTGTGATAGCTGGTACGTCTAATACCAGTATGCCAGAAGGGGAGGCACAGGGAGCTCGCCAGCATGACCAGTAAGGCCTGAATAATTATCCGCTGTAATCCAGCTCCCTGGAGTCAAACACTGGCCGCATACTTTGGATTTTACCAAAACCACAACGGTTGCTTCACGGAAATCCCCTTTAACCGGGTTGGAAATGAGCGGAATTACACATTAGCATAATTAATCAGATCTTAAGTAACGAACGCCGACGGAGGCTGAGTGTCGACGAATCCAGGACGCTTTGTGAAATTAGATCAACAGCAGTTCTAGGTAGAAATAAATCCTAATTTAATGGAAAATAGCACATTTTCTGTTTGTTTTCAAGGATTCAAGGAACTTTTTTTGTCATGCCAGCTCATGTTTACATGTCTGTGGTGGTCGGGTCCTGGTTTTTAATAAGCCTAATAAATAATAAGTGTAATATAAATAATAAGTACAGTGTAAAACAAGAGCAAAATAAGTGTAGCTATAGTAAAAATATACACATTAAGTAGGAAAGCCAACATTAGCCACTCAATATTTGTGTAAACAGCGCGGTAGAGCGTAGATTGCACTTGTATAAAATGAGAATGTTTATTAATTGCATAGAAAAGTCTGTAAAACTACAGAAATTATTTGTAAAACAAAAACCCAACAGTTGTTTTGAATATTGCATCACATAAAAACCTTTCTTTTTCATTTACTGTATTATTCAAACAGTATTCAATGATTAAATCCCATGAAAAAATCTAATTCAATGACAATAATTAGCTGTAATTACACATGTGGCTCTTAATATAAAAGTTTATGTCCATAATATCAGTTTAAATATCAGTGTTTGATTGTAATAACTCAGGAAAAATCTGTAAAACAAAACTGTTTTACTTTAGAACTTTACTTTAGAAGTTTCTTGGAGGTGTTAAAATTAATTAAATAACAGTATTTCTAAACAAAACATATAATTAAAATGCTTGTAAATAAGTTGTTTTTGCGTTAATTTGACAGTTTGACGGCTCCTGTTTGGCTGCCAGTCATTTGTCTTGTTCTGATTCTCTTCAGTGTCAGTTTTTTGCCCTTTTTAAATATTTTAATAACATTTGATTTGCACATTAATTTGACTGAAATCAACACGAGTGGGACGAATAAATAAAACTGACAGAATTTTGAGTTTATTAAATGTCTTTTTTTTTTTTTTTTATCACGTTGTTTCCACCTGTAACTTCTCTCCTGACGACTTTAACACAGTCGCGTGTGATTGATGCACACGTGCTGAATGTCAAGAAGGTTAATGAACGGCGTCGATGCTGAATATAGATCATACGGTTAGAGGGGACAATGAGGTGTAGCTCATTAAGAAATTCTTTACAGCTTTACCTCAAAGCGACAGTAATGGTGAAGAAGGCTTTTATTTAGCTTAAACAGAGGATCACAAACAAACTAGCTGCGCTGACAGTCGACTAAATTTAGACATCATGTCGTCTCGTTTGACTATAATTTCTTCTTAATGAACTAACCTTCTGGCTTTCTGAAGTGGTTGCTATGCTTCATTTTCAGTGTGTTTTGGCTGCTCTTGGCCCCATATGAGGTTTCTGGGGAATCTGTGATAGCAGCCCACAGCCTGACCCGCTAACCTACAGCTGCACAGACTTCCTACAGGTCAGTCATCTTGCGTACGTCTGCTTACTGTCGTGTAAAGAACCCTCTGGTCGGTTGTTGCGCACTTTGATCACTAGTCGACTGCAGTTGTCTTTACTCTGAGTTTGCCGTTTCCCAACCAATGCAAGTGTGAAAAAAACGAGCATTACGTCCTCTTGAATGAGGACAGAAGTTGTTGCTCAAGGGATCTATTTAACAGCTCCTATTGAGGACAGGGAACAGGGGTTCTTTTCTTTTTAATGTCTGGGGGGAAAAAAGGATGTAAAATCAGACATATGAGTCATATCTTTGACCTACATCTGCTCAAAGCGTTGCCTGCATGACGTTTTGCATCTTTACACTGGAAAAGCTACGGAGTGAGTGCAGCGGGGTGACTGGTCGACCGCGTAGATTTGAAGGATGTTCGCGTTCGCTTTTTCATTTCACTTCCAGCGTCTACTGCGTGGCCACAGGCTGGTTGGTGGAACTCTCATCCATCCATCCATCCATCATCTCTACACTTTCATCCTCACTAGGGTCGTGGGGGGCTGGAGTCTATCCCAGCTGACTCAGGGTGAAGGCAGGTTCACCTGGACAGGTAACCAGTCTATCACAGGGCTACACTTAGAGACAGACAACCAAGCACACTCACATTCACACCTACGGACAATTTAGACTCACCAATTAACCTCAACACCTTTTTGGACCTTGTGGAAGGAACCTGGAGAACCTGGAGAGAAAGATCCCAGGTGTCCTCACCGGGACTCAAACCGACAACCTTCTAGCTGTAAGGCAACTGTGCTAACCACAGAGCCACCTTGCAGCCCGAGTTAAAACCAAAAAACCACTAATGTAGCATTAAGGTCTGAGTATCATGGGATAATCCGTAGTTATTTTCGAATTCAAAAACACGGTTAACCTGATTCTTTAGCTGGAAGCTCAAGAACAAACCGGAGAAATCTTCAGTTCACAGACCCATCCATCATCTCCACACCTTCATCCTCACTAGGGTCGTGGGGGGCTGGAGTCTATCCCAGCTGACTCAGGGTGAAGGCAGGTTCACCTGGACAGGTAACCAGTCTATCACAGGGCTACACTTAGAGACAGACAACCAAGCACACTCACATTCACACCTACGGACAATTTAGACCAATTACCACCAATTAACCTCAACACCGGGACGCGAACCGGCGACCTTCTTGCAGCCCAACTCTCTGCTAGAAAACATGATTATCACAACTTTGTACATCACCAAAACTGATAATTAAAATTGTGTATATTTGTAACCCAGCAGATTATGCCATATTTTCAGATGACCTATAATGACCTATAGTGAAATACATGCTTGTTTTTTGTTCACAGCTGAACTAAAGCAGCCAAAATTAGTCTATAAAACAACTAATATGTCATATTTTAACTGGTATACTAACAAATTAATGCACCAGCATGAGCCAATAGCAATGATTCAACTGAATGGAGGCTGTAAATTGTCACCCTGGTCATCTGAGCGCAGACCGATTACTCCAACAGTCTCTATGGAGTTGTCCACTCACCACTGGAAACTGGGTGACCCAGTAAGAATGAAACACCTTTTTAATGGTAGGATAACCACAAGAGTAACGAATAACATCAATAACGTCTCTGTGCTATTTAAAGACCAACTTACCAGCCACTGTACGTCTTGTTTTTGCTGATCTCCTGTGAATTCATATCTCACCTTGACTTAGAAGTGCACCCCAGGGTGTGTCAGCACGCTGTGACATCACCACTGGGGGTAGGTGCAGGTGCAGCAGAGCACAGAGGGCAGTTAAATACGGCTTTATCGTATAAAATAGGTCTGTCAGGATGGGCCCACCAACTGTCCTGGGTTATGCCCTCACCTTTTCATTTATAGACTTCAGATGGTCAGAGTGGAAGAGAAAAACCACCTTCTACTCATTTATCTCCCTTAAAATGCGACGAGGATGCTGAGGAATGGCACCTTTGTTCTGCGACTACGCCCTGTTTCACGGCGTTGCTAAGCTCTGCGGTTCTGCATGTAGCACGATGGGGCTTCTGTGCTACAGGGACCTGCCTCTTTAACGGACTCTCATCTGTTTCTGTGCAGCAGATGGACGAATCAGAAGGTCGTCATGGAAGTGGTGAGGAGAGACGACCACGGAGGGCAACGAGCCACTTCTCTATGAGCCAAGACCTGGCTGCTTCTCGACAAGTTGTTCAGACCGAGTACTGGGTACATAGAGGGGCGGGGTGAAGAGTCTCTGAGGCTGCAGTCCAAATGTTCTAACAGCAGAGTAGACCAGACTCCCCTCGTTGCATGTATATTATTATATTCTTTTTAACATAGAGGAGTAATTATTTCTTTCTACAACAGAATGGACGCCATGAAACAATGAAGATGTTGTACTGGACCTGAT